GGGGTTTAAATCAAAGGGTCACCACTGGATTTATTTATTTTATTTAATTTTACACCCCCCCCCCCCAACATGTAACCCAGGTTGCACATTGTTATACCATTTGTATATAATCCCTTTATAGACCTGTGGCTTGTACTACGAAGCGGGGTTACTGTCTTATCGCGGTAACTTGTCGGATTTAAGGTAGTCTGGGCAAAATGTAAGTGAACGAATATGAAGTCCATTTAAACTGTGGTACCTTAAATCCGACAAGTTTACCCCGATAAGCCAGTAACCCCGCTTCGTAGTACAGGCCACTGGGTTGCAGGAAACTTTCACACAATTGTTTATGCAAGAGTTTCTATGCTGTTTCAAATGTGACCCAGAAAAATTCAGGGAACGGGTCTCTTTTGATGCCAAAAAGGACATTTCTGAGAAACTGCGTTCTCGCTCTCGCGCTCCAGCAGGCCAGAGAAGACCAAGCACTCCTGTGACCATTAGTCACTTGGGCAAGAAGTCAATAAGGATTATGTGTTAATCTGCCATGAGACAAGCAGGTTTTCTGCAGAGCTGGTCGTGCGGAGAGGGACCTTTTGTCCGGACACAAAGGCGTAAACGCGTAGATTTTAAACGGTGCCACTGAGGTCACTCTGGGCTTTATTAAGAGTGATGCTCTGCCAGTTTGCCGCAAATCACCGCAGTCTGGAAATGGTGGAGTTTGTATACTTGGTGTGTGGGTTTTTTTTTTTTAATGCCCTGCTGTCAATTAGGAGGTGAAGCGAGGCTTAATTCGTATGCTAATGTCCCTCGAGGTCCGCGGAGCGTGGAAGGGCTGGGCCACGGCGGTGTGGGGGCGGCTGAGAGGCGCCGGACATCGCTGGGATTCTCATGAGTCAGAAACGCTCCCCTTCCACTTGGAACCGCATTCACAAAAACTTGTTTGTGATTTCGGTAAAACCAGGGAAAGATATCGCTATAATAAACTAAAATATTGCCAAACAAAAGGGTGTTACTGTGCGTTTTTGTGAAATTGTGCGCCCATCTGATTGGGTGTTAGAGCCATCATTCATGGCCCCCATTTCACCAGCAGTTCCTGTGCGATACATTTACAGTGGCAGTTTAAACGCAAAATGACGGCGTCTGGGGGCGTTTGTACATTTGAGAGCCTGGGGTCCGTCCTCTTCAGGACTGAAGGATTGGCCTCTTGGCCTGACCAGCAGGATCCCTAAGGCAGGCCCCCTGCCCTCGTTTTGAAGTGTGTGGAGTGGCGGGGGTTGGGCCGGCAGAGAGGGGGGTGGCCTCCATGGGGAGGGGCTAGGCCTCGGGCTGAGGGCCGGCCCTCATTCTTTTCGAGCCATCGGGGAGGGCCGGCCCAGTCTAGCCCACTCCACACGCACGTAGACACGGCGTCACGCATCCCAGCTTCACTCTGATGTGGACCGCGGCTGGTGCTGACAGCTCCGACATGGTGCCGAGGACTGGCTGCTGAAAGGGTGCGAGTGGACAGGCCGCCCCCCCGTGCTGGAGAGTCCTCGTGCTACGGACATGCAACGCGGCTAGCGGCTTGGGGATTAGGTGTTCAGCAGCCGCGAGCGTGCGCCTGCCGTGAGGGTCTCATGGAGGTAAGGCCTGCTACGCGCTTAGTGTCCCGCCGTTTGGCACATTTAGGCCTGCATTTAATTGTTAAGCCAGAGCTGCTTTTCTAGTCTCTTCTGTGCCTGGAAAATGCCGGAATGTGTTGCCGGGTTATCCCCTCATCTTGCTTGTGTGCCTGAGTGGCTATGTATTCTCTGAGCAGAAAAGCGTCTTGTGAGGAAGGCGTTGGGGGTGGGTAGGGGCTGCGAGTGATTTCCCAGGGGCCCCGAGGCGCCGGTGTGGCCCGCGGGCTGTCGGCCAGTGTGTGCACAGCTTCCCCTGGGGTTCGGGGCGTCGAGGGTCGCCGAGGACGGCCCCTTTGGCCTTGGGAGTACTCCTGCTGCCACTCCGTTAATCTTCCTGAGTCCATTAAAAACAGAAGGAGAAATACCCCCCCCCCCACGTCCCTGTGGAAATGCAGGAGACTCGTCACAAAGTACATTTTTCAATTAATAGTTAATCTGGATCCCAAGAAAATCGTTCTGGAAACTTTATTGCCTCCTTTTGTTCAGTAGCTGCTTTTATAGGATGTTTGTGGAATGTGCTGGAATGTGTGGGGGGGGGGGGGGTGTCAGAAAAGGCAGCTTGCCCTGGCCGCCCCGTGCTGCCGCGTCCTCCGAGACGGTTACAGCGTGACGAGTAACCGGTGCTTCTCCAGCTGTTTGCTGCTGGCTGGCGTCTTGCTCGGCGACTCTCCCAGGAACGGTCTGCTCTCCTGGGAGTCGCTTGCCTCCTTTTCCATGTCTGGCCTAGTTACTCAGGGGATAGTAAGCATGACCGGATATTATTAATCAGGACCAAGTTGTCCCACGCAGCCCCAGACACTAACTCCCTTAAATGGGTCAGTCTGTCCCCACTGGTGGTTTCAATGCTAGGAAGTTCTTGATGGTTCCTGAAAGAACAGGGGCCGCCGTCTGTACTCGTGTTAAAGGCCAGTCCTGAGAGCCGCGCTTCCCTCGCTCCCGTGTGACACCATGCTGGCACCTGGGTGACCTGGACCACCTGGGCCTCTTGTCATTGTCGGCATCTTCATTGTAACCGTCCCACTATCATTCAACTGAACCGTGGGCAAATCTGTTGCCACCTCGCCCTCCGTCACTCAGATCTGCCACCTCGGGCCGCCAGGGTGGTGTGGGCGGAGCCCTCTGATCTCCATCTGAGTGCCCCCCCCCCCCCATCACCACCTCCTCCACAGCGATGTTAACAAGCACCCTGACAAAGGAAGGACTGTTAAACAATTTGTGCCTCGGGGCTTCAGCTGGGTGTGTGGGAGAGCCAACAGGAACCAGCCATAGAGCCTATAACCTCCAGGAGAAGGGGTCACCCCCGCCCCACCCCCCACAGAGGGCAGCTGGGGGTTTACACTCGGGAGTCTGCTGCTGTGTCACGAACCACCTGAGCAGCTGTTAAAAGCGGCCTTGGGGCCTGTTTGTCCCATTTGGCAGAGGATTCTGGTCCAGAAAGCAGCCGCCAGTGGCAGCATTTCACCAAACCCCGCTTGGAGTGGCTGTGGACAGAGCGAGCTCTTAAAATGCCATCAACAGTCATTGTAAGCACTCAACAAGGCTTAACATGCTAACAAGGCTTAACATGCTAACAAGGCTTAACATGCTAAAACTGCATTTAGATGTAATGCGTGATACTCGAACTTCAGTATAAACCGGAGTGTGAGTAATTCCGCGTGTGGCTGCTGCGTGATGCAGCCTTCGTGCCCACAGGAGGTATTCAGGGCCGTTTTCCTCTCATTTGCATGTAAATAAACAGGAATGGGACCCTGAGCACTTCTGACACCACAACAAAAGACAGGTTATCAGGAGCACAAAGCTGTAAAGACCATGAATGGTGACATTAGAGCCCTATTTTCCTGAGATAAGAAGGGGGGGGGGGTCCCTTTGATAGACTGAGCAGCAGGCCCTGATGTTTTATGTCATAAATCTGGTGGCCATGGTGGGGAGGGGGGATGAAGTAGCCAGCCACACGTTAACCCCCCCCTTTCATTTTGATGAGAGCATGTGGGCAGACATAAATACACCTTCCTGGTTTAGGCTAGACTCTGAACCGGCTGTTGGCCTTGAATTCTCCATTGGTGCAGCTCTGGGACCGCGGGTCACCAGGAACCCCGAAACACACAGCTAGTGGGGACAGGAAGCAGGTTTGAGGGGTCTGAGGATATGGCTGAGGGAGTGCTCAGCATTCCAGGTCTGTGTCTGTGTGTGTGTGTGTGTCTGTCTGTGTGTGTGTATTTACGCATGACAGAAATTCCACAAGAGGGACTTCAGGAAAGCTTAGGGTTCTTCAAAGCCAACTGCAGGGTCGCTGGTTTTCTCAGCTGTCCGTGTGGCCGCCTGTTCCCCCCCCCCCCCCCCCNGGGACTTCAGGAAAGCTTAGGGTTCTTCAAAGCCAACTGCAGGGTCGCTGGTTTTCTCAGCTGTCCGTGTGGCCGCCTGTTCCCCCCCCCCCCCCGCCATGAGCACGGGTGCGGGCGGATGGGTCAGCAAGGGCCGGGTCCTAGCGCGCCTCGCTGCTGTCTGTCATGCTTTAAGCTCTTGAAAGACGGCCACAACTGCGAGGGCGGGTGCTGTCAGCTGGCCCCGCCGGACACGTCTCTGGGAGGAAGGAGGCGAGCTGTGTGTGTGTGTGTGTGTGTGTCTGCGCTTCTCAGAAATGCAAAGTAGACGCCTTTGATCACCGTAAAAACACTCTGCTCGCCACACACAACGGCAGGGCAGATTTTCCCCGCTTTCAAAGGCCATTTCTGTCAAACCCATATCTTTCAAGAAATCTCAGTTGCACTTTAACCAAAAACCATAATGTAATGGTGGCTGGAGACCACAGAGGCCTCGCTGTGGGAGACTGAAGACCGTTTCAGTCCTCAGCCCGGCCCAAACCGCCGCAGCAGAGACGCGGCGGTGCTGCCAGGAAGCCTGGCCCGGCACTTGCCCTCTGATCTGCCCATCCTGATTCCGGGTCCGACCAGCTGGCCGCAGTGCCACCTGCCACGATGCCCCCCCTTAGATGGAAGGCCCGGCCGTGTGACCGTGACGTGGCCTGGCAGCTTCAAAAACACACGTGGGGGGGCCATGCAGGAACCTGCCACTGGGCGACTTTTCTCCAGCCAGTAAAAATAAGCAGCGACTGCATGATGAGAGGGCCACACGTACGGGGGGGCGGCTGGCTGCTCAAACAGGCGGAAATGGGCCTAAAGTGAAGCGTCACGCATCCCCCACAAAGGCCGGGATGGGGAGGCATTTGTCATCGGTTTTTGGTTAATAACTTCCAGGTTGCCTAGACAGTTTTGAATCCCTCCATCATCGCAATGACACTGTGGGATGCCCCCCCCCCCAAACCCCCCATCTGACTCGTGCCCCCCTGTCTCCCACGCCCAGAAGCACTTCTCGATGAATCTAGAGAACGCCAGCAGTTACCAGCCAGTGGGCCGGGCCCCGGACATGGAGCACAAGGTCGGCAAGCTCTCCGTGGGCTTCCAGCGCTGCTCCACCTCCGACGACGACTCGGGCTGCGCCCTGGAGGAGTACGCATGGGTGCCCCCCGGCCTGCGGCCCGACCAGGTCAGACCCCCCCTGAGGTGTTCCTGCCGTCTCAGGCAGCCGTGTGTGAGGTGCAGGTGTGAGTCTCTGAGCAGCCTGTGTGACATCCAGCGCCTCGGGCTACACCCCCCACCCCAAAGGCCGTAGCAGGCAGTGGGGTGAGAAGAGGAAGGGAACTCTGTGGGGGGGGGGCAGGTCACACAGAGTGCGTGACACACACCTGGAAGGGAGCAGGGAGGCTGGATGTGTGTGTGTGTGAGAGAGAGAGAGTGTGCTCCTCTGAAGACCACACCAACCCAGCTCTTCCTAAGTAAACCATCAGGACCGTAGGGGAGGCCAGCATGTCTCGAATGGCCAGTACCATGAGGGGTCTAGGAACCGGGGGGACGGAGACCCATCAGTTATATGAATATTAAATTTGGCTTCATTTATTCCCCCAGAAAAGTGGAATTTTACTTTTAAATTAAGGTGTGTTCCCTCAATAGCAAAGTCTGTCCTATGCCATTCAGTAGCTCAGTAAAAATTCATCATGTACAAGTACAGCAGGCCGCTCTGCAGTGAGCAGAGGCTTCCAGGGGTCACAAGAAGCCCCTGTGCTGAATTCCACGGCCCCATTTCGCCTTTACGGCACAGCAGTCAGCAGGACTGGCTGAGACAGTCGGCCATGGGGGGCAGACCTCCTGGCTCACATACTGGAGTCTGTTCACCCCCATGCCTAAAATACCACCAGGTTGGGGGGGGGGGGCAGCCCCCAGCTGTGTGCGATTTATCTCCTCCTGACGAATTCTGTAATGTAAATGCAATGCTGCATAGAATATGTATGAAGTCACACAAAGATCGCATTGTCAGGCTTCACATTCTCGCAGTTGTACCAAACTGGCTCAGAATGTCCCTGATGGTGTGATTTTTATGGCGTGGAATGCAACCTCGTTTGTTTTTCTGTATATTTACCATGGAAACATGTTAATGTCATCAAACGTATTCCAGCTTTGTTTTACTGAAATTTCATGCCCAAAATTGTAAACAGGCCTGCTCATCAGTCTGCTGGAGGCCTCCGTCGCTGCACGCGGGCCCCTTTTGTGGTCATGCAGCTAGATCTGTCTGCAGTGAGACCCCCAAATATGCTCAACGTCGAGCTGGAGAATCTGTGCCGGTTTCTTAAGGTGCCAGATTCAGGCCATGGGCTTCCAGTTCCCATTCCTGCCTCCCCAGCAGACATGGATGCAATGAGCACCCATGAATGAGAAGGGCAGGCCTGACCACCAGGGGGCACTAAACCCCCCCACCTCCCCCCTATGGGCGGCATGACTTTTTCAGCAGGAGGATATTACTGGCATAGGAGACACATCCAGTGTAGCCTGGCTCTTTACGATTGTGCTAATGGCTGCCAATAATGACCTCTTTCCCGGGTCTTTGTACGTACTGCTGCAAAGGGTCTTTAACCAGGGCCATCCTGCTAAAAGTAGCAACAGTTTGCCATTTAACAACCACTGAGCACTTGGGAGTCACTGAATAGCGGTGTTGTGGATCATGGCTTTTCCTCTTTTCAATGTGCCACTGGACAAAGGGTGCTACCCAGCAGTGCTTCAGCTCGTTTACGGAGATCTGCATTCCATGTCCCTCCAAACCCAGGTCCAGCTCTACTTCTCCTGCCTACCTGAAGATAAGGTGCCCTACATCAACAGCCCCGGAGAGAAGTTCAGAATCAAGCAGCTCCTGTACCAGCTGCCCCCCCATGATAACGAGGTGAGTGCTGGACCCCCGACATGTTTTCTCGAGTATCGACAGAAACTGGATTAGGAGGTGTCCCTTACAGAGAGGGCCTCGGATGGCGGTCTGGGGAGCCTCTCCTTGCTACCTCTTTCTGGCCTAGTTTGCAAACGCTACATTGTGCATGAGCCTCCTGCCATAAAGTTGGCCTCCCTTCCCACTGGCGTTTGCACTGCCGCTCTGTGGCCTCGTCTTGCCTCGCCTCGCCTCGGTGGGTCCTGCCAGCGGCCTCACACCAAGCTCCTTTGCTTCTTGCTCACAAATTGGGTGTCAGCACAATAAAACTTGACAAAATGATTTTATGATGTTTGCGGCGCGCTGGGCTATCCTGTGCGCTGGGGGGATTCTCAACATATCTGCGGTCCCCAAGGGGAGGTGAAAACGGGGACTCCAGCAGGAGGCCTGTGTGCAGAGTGGTGTGCAGCGGCCTGCTGTCCCGGCATGTCTGCTCCTGTGTCTGTTGTCCAAAGCTTGATTCCACTGTAAACACCAAACCTTTTTATACAAACATCAGCGTTCCTGTTCTTACCAACCCCCCCCCCTCCACCACCACCTGGGAGGAATGGCTGCTGTTTTTGATGTGATGGGTGATGCTGGTGTCTGTGCTCCCCACCCTAGATGCGGTACTGCCAGTCGCTCAGTGAGGAGGAGAAGAAGGAGCTACACATGTTCAGCACACAGCGCAAGAAGGAGGCCCTGGGCCGAGGTGCCCTCAAGCTGCTGCCCCGGGCACGGCTGCACGCCATCTGCGAGCACGTAGGTCTCACGCCATCCCCAGACTTTCCCCCCCTCCCCCGATCCGTGGTATGATGCACAACGACCCGTCTCGGTTTGGCATCTGCTCTACAGAGAATGCAGGTCAAGCTTGGAGGTTATTCCAGCCATCAGAATGTGCGGCATTTAAGTGTGTTCCCTACGCATACACATACATGGCGGGGCTTGTCTTATTTAGCACTTACAGAGGTCAGAAATTGCTCGGGGACAACAATAGAGGCCTGTCAAAACACATCAATGGCTCCGCTCGCTGATTGTAATCTGCGCTCTCCACATCCTCACCATTCGCAGGGAGTCCTACAGACACTGCTGGCTATAAGATGGTGTGTGGGGGGGGGGAGTGAAGTAGAGGGCCTGCAGTCTCCATTCCTCCAGGCAACACATGTCATATAGTGTCTCAAGTGCCCCCAGATGGAGCAGAACAGCACGGTTCTCTGTCTCCGGTTCTGCGCTGAAATGCAGGGGCCACATGACACCACATGACACCACATGACACCGCAGCTTGAAGGCCAAGGCTGTGCCGTCATAATGGCAAGCAGCTGGGAGCCGTGCTTATATAAAGACGTGCGCCTGTGTATGTCTTCACGCTCCATTAAGCTGCTCAATCATTTACTCTTCGGGGACAGACGATAGTGTGTTGGCAGAGGTGGAATTTATTTGTGAAACTCTTTGCGTAAAAATTCTGTTTTACATTCTCTCTTAACACAAGCCCTTATGGAAGGTGACTTATACGGCCGGCTGTATAAGCAGGCTAAGCAGCCCCACAGATTACATGTCTTACTGTGCACCGCTATGGCGGTGGTGTACATTTCTGGGTGTAGACCACATGTAGTTAATAATAATAATAAGGCTATGAACACAGTTTTAGTGGCAGTGTATCTGCACTGTGATGCATGAAATACAGGCCAGTTTTATAAAGGCAGAAACTTTAATGAGAAGGAAATATAACCTGTTGCCTTTGTTCATTTTCAAGACCATAAATACTGGAACCAGCTGCTGGTTACTTATTCCAATCACAATATTCCAAGCCCCCCCCCCCCCTTACTTTATAGGCATAGTTGAAAGATCCTGCATTTGGACAGTGTCCCAAAACAATGTGGGCTTTATCAAAGAGAGTTTGCTTGGATACTCACATCTGCAAACCCCCCTCCTCCCCACAGTGTGGTGAGAACATCAGTGGCGGTGAGTTGGCGGTGTTTGCCTCCAGGGCGGGGCCCGGGCCCTGCTGGCACCCGGCTTGCTTCGCCTGTGCCACCTGCAGCGAGCTCCTGGTGGACCTCATCTACTTCTACCACGACGGGAAGGTGCATTGTGGCCGGCACCATGCCGAGCTGCTGAAGCCGCGGTGCACTGCCTGCGACGAGGTGAGTCCTCGCTTTAGCGATCCCCAACCCGTTCCGATCCAAGTACGTGGGCAGCCCCTAAACGTGCCGTGGTTCCCCCCAGATAATCTTCGCTGATGAGTGCACGGAAGCCGAGGGCCGCCACTGGCACATGAAGCACTTCTGCTGCTTTGAGTGCGATGCCGTGTTGGGTGGCCAGCGGTACATCATGAAGGACGGTCGCCCCTACTGCTGTGGCTGCTTCGAGTCACTCTACGCCGAGTACTGCGAGGCTTGCGGGGAGCACATCGGTGAGTCATGCTCCCGTCTGCCGGCCTTTGCGGCAGCTCCCTGGAACACTAACGGAGGGTCCCGACCTGCTTTCTCCTCGTCTCCAGGTGTGGACCATGCCCAGATGACCTACGACGGCCTACACTGGCATGCCACAGAGACATGCTTCTGCTGTGCCCAGTGTAAGGCCACGCTGTTGGGCTGTCCCTTCCTGCCGCGCCAAGGTCGGATCTACTGCTCCAAAGCCTGCAGCCTGGGAGAGGATGTCCACGCCTCAGACTCCTCTGACTCTGCTTTCCAGTCGGGCCGGTCCCGCGAGTCCAGACGGAGCGTGAGGATGGGGCAGAGCAGCCGCTCAGCTGACCAATGCCGCCAGTCTCTGCTCTTCTCACCAGCTGTCAACTATAAGTTCCCAGGCCTGTCTGGCAATGCCGATGACACCCTGTCCCATAAACTGGCGCACCTCCGCTTTGCCGAGGACCACTTCTGGAAGAATAGGGAGGAGCAGGAGGCCCCGGAGGACCATGAGGAATGGGCTGAACATGATGACTACATGACGCAGCTGGTCCTTAAATTCGGAGAACAAGGCATCTTCCACCCTTCCGAAGACATGAGGCCTGCGGAACCCTGGATGTCCGACCCAGAGGTCAAGATATCTGCACCAAAAGCTGGAAATCACATCCAGAGTCTGGCCAGCAAGAAGTACCAGGCGGACATGTACTGGGCACAGTCCCAGGATGGGCTAGGAGACTCCGCCTACGGAAGCCATCCAGGGCCAGCCAGCAGCAGAAAGATGCAGGAGGTGGAGATGGACCAGGGGGCAGCCAGCTTTGGACGGGATCAGAAGCAGTGGTACGACGATTCACTGGAGTGCATCACTGACGAACTGAAGCAGCCAGATCCAAGTGTCCGGGATTCCATGGATTCCTTAGCACTGTCTAATATAACCGGTAAGAACCTGCTTTATTAACTGGTTAGTCAGTCTAACTGCTTAAAACATGATTAAGTTTTTCTTGGGTAGGAAGTTGATTTCACATTTGCTTCCTAACTTCCTCCTGTCCCCATAGGAGCCTCTGTGGATGGAGATGGCAAAGAGAGGCCACTATTGTATTCTTTACAGAACTTTCCAGAACTCGACACTGACGACTGTGAGAAGATGAGCAACATGGGGACTCTGAACTCTTCGATGTTACACCGGAGTGCAAATTCACTTAAGAGTTTGACATCGGAAGTAGAGCCTGAAGAAGAAGTGGAGGAGGAAGAGGAGGACGAGGAGGAAGAGGAACCTTTTCCTGAGGAGAAGACCCCACTCCCACACGTCCCCATGCTGCGGAGGACCAGGTCTCAGTCCCGGCCGCAGCAGGTAAAATTCTCCGATGACGTGGTGGACAACGGGGTCTACGAGGAGGTGGAGGTGCGGCCACCCCCCATGAGCGAGCGGACCCGTCGACGTGCCTTTCACTTTGAGGAGCAGGAGCAACACCAGGGACGTCTGCGGCACCATCACCACCGACGACGCCGCAGCAGGAAGTCTCGGTCAGACAACGCCTTGCACATGGTCCCCAAAGAGCGCGCCCGAATGTTCTTCAGGGAGGAGCCCAACAGACACTTTGCTTCCTCATGCTCCCAGAGCCCCCGGCCTTTCCTGCCCAGCCAGGAGCTGTATGGGCCGCCCCCCCAGCCTCGGTCTCACGCCACCTCTGACTACGCGCTGCCCAAGCAGCTTCCGGCGCTCTACGGGTATGACGACGACTGGTGCTCCACCTGCTCCTCCTCATCCTCCGAGTCTGAGGAAGAGGGTTATTTCCTGGGTCAGCCCATCCCACAGCCCCGGCCGTCGAGATTCCATTACTACGCTGACCTTCCCAGTCCCATCTCGGCGTTACCTCCCCCCCACTATGGTCCTCGCTCTAAATCCAAAAAGAAGGGACACAAGGGCAAAAACTGTATCATTTCTTAGAGCAGTGAAGAGAGAGGCGTCTCCGAAATTCCCCCCGCAGATCCGCATCCCAGGCCGCTTCTCATTGTGTAACGAAAAGACTTTTTGCTTGTTGACCATCAGATTTGGCAAATGGGTTTACGGGACTCGTTCCTTTGCCATGCTGCCATGTTTACGACGACCTTGCACTCCATGATAGAAACCGGTGTGAAGCCACAGCAGAACTAACTGAAGTCTGTCAGTTGGGGGGGGGCTGTAATGTCTTGTGAAAGTATCTTAGTAACATACAATACGAGCTGTGGTTGTGCACAACAAAAGGCAACAAGCATTACTGTTATAGCCAGGAAACTATTTATAAAGGAGCATTTAGAGACTAATTATTTAACAGTGAAAATATTGATGTATATATGTAAAGTTAAGATTAACTGATATTTTTATATCCCCAAATTTCAAAAGATTTTTTTTAAATGTTAGTGAAGCAGAAAAGGAAATCTAAAGGCCCCTCTTTAGCTTTTTTTTTTGAGAATGTCTGGAAGTCCGTGATTAAGGAAACTCGCTCAGTGATGCCGTTGACTAAATACCCCCTGCTCTTCTCCTTTGGTTGCCTTTTCTTGTAGCCTCTTTTGCAGTAAGAATGACAGTTTTGAACGGATTTATTTATGATTCATATTGTAAACATCACTAATCTGTATAAATGTAAAAACTGGAACACATAGCTAATAATAAAAACGTTGACCTTCAAAACACCATTGGTGGTACTTATGCACTTGGTCTTGTGACACACTAACCTCACATACTGTAATTGAATGAAAGTTGCATTTTTAGTGCTTGGTGATAGCCATTCTGCTCTAACATACTCACCACACAGTAGGCACAGTGACAGGAGAGAACTTAATTAGATACAGGGGATGATTAGGGGGCAATTTAGCCTGGGCATCAGGGTACCACTGCTACTCTTTTGAGGGTCAAGACCTGAGTTTTATCTGAAAGACACTTTACAGTGCAGTGTCCCCATACTGGGATATTGGATCCACACAGACCACAGGATGGGCTAACCTGTTGGTCACAGTGTCCTCATCACTGCACTGGGGCATTGGGACCCACACAAACCATAGGCCAGGCTAACCTGGTGGCCACAGCAACCCAGCTGGTCTCCCATCCAAGTACTGGCCAGGCACAAGCCCACTTACCTTCATGTGGATTACCTAGGCTTAACTGGTACAGTGGCATGGCTGCTGACACATGCTGGAGGAATTAGGCTTTGAGGACCCTTGCAAGGGGGAGGGGTTTACCTTCAGGCTAAATACTGCAACATGAAGTTGGTACCTTTCAGGCAGGACTGGGAGGTCATGAAACACGGTTTTCTGGGTGGAATTTTAACCCACAGCAAACAGTCTGACATGGATTAAATTTTAACTTTCGTCTTGGAGCTCCAGTTTCACCAGAAACACACATCAAACTCAAGCAGGGTCCCAATGAAATGGGAAATGTCTCCAATTTGAGGAGTGTGACAGGTTATTTTCACTACCCCATGTCTAACCTAGGACCAGGTGCATTCCCACAACTGAGGTTGCCTTCAAAATTGAGAAAAAAAGCAAAAAATGTCCCAGATGGGCATCCATATACTCAGCTGGATGTGAAGCCTCTTTATAAACACAGTAAATGTTTTTTTACATGTAAAAAAACGTGGAAACTGTAACCTCAGCACTCCTGCATCGTGGCTCCAAGGTCTGAGTAGCGGGTTTGTATTTCAGTTCAGCTGAACCCATTTAAATCTCTTATTTCTATTGAAATTGCAGCTTCGGAATCATCCCCGTCACTGACTCTCTAATGAATAATAAATCTGGTGTTTGATCAATGTCAGACAGGGCATTAGCTGACTGACCTGCAGAAGACACATTCAGAAGCTCAACAGGGAGAAGTATTGGTTTTGAGACGGTAGAAAATAACCTCATAATGATGGACAGCTTTTCATACTCGATTCGCAGACAAAACTAATATGAAAAGGATAGTACAAGTTATTCAGACACCATTTAAATCAGACTATAAGAAACTCTGAGGTATTCATCTTACTCATCACAAATAAACTTCATAAAGCAGTTCCCAGCAGGATCAGATGGTGGTGCAGTGGTTAGCACTGGTGCCTCACACCTCTGAGACCAGGGTTCAAGTCTCTGCTAGGGTGCTCCCTGTATCAAAGTTGTGTTGAGTGTGTGTGTGAACGTGGTGTGTACCTAAAGAGCAACAACAGGTGGATACAGAGGACGGTCAGGGTGTACTGAACACAATCTTTAAGAAAATATTACTTACGCAGCTTATAAAAAGAGGTTTATTCCCCCTACTGCAGGGGTCTCCAACTCCAGTCCTGGAGAGCTACTGTCCAGTAGGTTTTCTGTCCTACCTAGCAAATACCAAGACAACATTCTGGATATTGGCTCTCCAGGACCAGGGTCAGAGAAAACCCTACTGCAATCAACAAGAAAATTCCAGGACAGCCTTTTTTAATTTTCATCACAAGATTAAAAAACTTACATAGAAAGTGGACAGTGGTCTTAACGGAACCACACTTGCAAAGGAAACATGCAGAAAAAATAAATGAACATTTATGAGCATTTTGTACAAAACATAGAGATTAACGGGAAACGAATGAGATTAAATGAATATGCCACACATACAGAGAACAGAATCCCAATGCAGACTGGAGCACGATGAGTAATATGTGAACATAAAAGTCTGAAGGCCGTTTATAAAAATAAATCCACAGAGCAGACATGTGTTGGCCAGCTGCAGGCCATGTTTCCTACAAACCCAAAGGGGGGGGGGGGCGTTTTGATGGCTCTGGGGGGGTGCCGAGGATACATCTACGACCGCAGCACTGCTTCATCCAGCTCGAAGATGAAATGCTTGAGGTCCTCTAAGCATCGCTCGCGGATCTCGCAGAGGTTCTCCTTCAGTGGGTTCTGCAGCTGCTTCTCCAGGCTGGGCTCTTTGGCCACCAGCATCTTCACCACCATACCAAAGGTCTCACAGTCCTGCCTGTAAACCTGCGAAGTGAGGATAGCCGAAATCCACTGGTCAGAGGGACGTCTCCTTCGCCAGGTGCTGCGAGACACACTTCAGGGAGCCTAGCATCGGCCACAATCACAAGGACTAAACCATGGACTTGCAAGAGTTACTGAGGCGTAACGGTGGAGTGAACCTGAGGAGTTATTTAAAACGAAACGTCCTGTGGATGCAGCTCCATACAGCACAGAAGCTCTCGGCAGTGGGGACGCCGTGACCTCTGCATCCAGACACAGATGATCATGAGGTGTTACCCAGCTCCATCTACCTCTCATTTACATTAAACAGCATGTTTCCTCCAGACCATCTGTGCCATGTCCTGTTTGCGCTGCTCTTCCTGACACTTAAACCAAATGCCCAAATAACGGTGGCTGGTATCAGCTGTGTGCAGACAACACTGGAGCCACTGAAGTATCGTCACTACTTCCTTCTCCAGGGCCGTGACCTGCTAACCCACCCCCCAAAACACCCTAACCCATCAAGGATGCCCTCGTTCCAGTCACACAGCTGGCAATCCCACTCTGAGAGACGGGGCATATCCTCTTTTGGGGACAGGCATCGCAGCACTTCGGGGAACACGCATGCATAAATAAATGATTGGCTCACAGCTGCTGCCCATGCTCTGTGCCCGGTTCCCATTTTTAGACGCTGGGGTCTGAAGAAAATAAACACGGACTGTGGCCGGACGTGAAGATGGGAGTGGCAGGCGGTGGGTCGCGTCCACGTCCTCAAAGCCCTTCGGGCGCGGTGGGTTTCAGGAGGTGGACAGAACACCCTGCAAGGTCTGATCCTCCCACATTGCAGGGTGAGCACAGACTTGGGCCCCACCCTGCTTTTAGGGCCCTGGGGTCAACATGGCCTCATGGTGTCCTCTGGAAGAACTTCCCACCGCGCATTTTCGCCCAGTAACAGGGGACTTAATGGCAGCCGGGTGCGCAGCAGGTGTGTGAAGACAAAGCAGGACGGTGTTAAAACATGCAAAGTGCCCACGGGCCTCTTCACACCAAACCTCAAGGCCAATTGCAGCTGCAACACTCTTTAAAAGGTAGGCAGCGCCCCAGGTGCGAGTCTGGGGCCAGTTTATCACCTACGGGGACTGAAGAGCTCCGTTTGATCACTGCTGTGGGCCAGACCACACTCCTGCGGTTCACGTCACCCCCGGCGAGAGCAGCAGGACCTCTAGATTAGCTGCCCGAGTCCCAGGCACAGAAAATCCCAGCTCTAAGGTGGCAGGGAAGAGCAATCAGGTCGAACTTACAGCATGAATCGCTGGGTGGTTCACATCCATAATCACGCGCTGCGTGCGTTTCAGCTGCTGCGGAACCATTTCATACTTTCTAAAGTAAAGCACAGGCTGGATTTCCACGTCGCCCAAGTCTCGGGGAGCGAGAAGTCAGGGTGTCAGGACTGCAAGGCAGGTTACGCGTCACACCAGGCTGTTTGGGTTTCCATACGCACTGCATACGCACTGCGGAGTCCTGCCCCGGAGGAGGGAGAACGGGAAGTGCAGGAGACAAAGTGTAAACAAGCTACCCCGGATATCCTGCACATCTTGGTGGGGGGGGGGCCCTAGTTCAGGCACTTTGCCCGGTGATCGGCAGGGGGTCAAGGATGAACCCCCCACCCTCTCCAACAGTGGTCACCTAGGGGGTGGGAAATAATCCACGCAAGAGGCTGGGGAGATCTGACCCATTCTGCTGCTGGGCTGAGGCAGCGCTCATGGGTGACGTCAAGGTGAAGCCAAATTCACCCCCCAGCCGAAATACAACGAATGGGTAAAACATTGTATAGTCAGAAAGACTAATAACAGGGAAGCAGTGGCAGTAGCCTCAGGACCTGGTTTATACACCGATAAGTTATAACACAACAAAACCAAGAACGGGTAGACGTATACGTATATACACACACGAGAGGAAGAGGTCGGGGGCAGAGACAGAAACTGGGTGGGGGGGACTGAAATACTTCAGAGGAACTGCAGCAGAGGCGCTGATCAGGGCCGGAGCCCAGTGTCCCCCCGCACTGCTGTACCCCCCCATCTCTGGTTTGATGCTGAGAAGCGCCGTGGGAGAGAAATCACTCGACGCCGGTTAGTAGGTACAAGCTGCAGGGACAGGCCACTGGCACAAACCCCCACCCCACCAAAGCCACTAATGAAAGCCAGATTGGGCAAACTGCAGCACCTGCAGATAGGATGTGTCTTGGGCCCCCCCCCCCCCCCAACATCCCGTAGTGGGCCCCCAGCGTCCAGGGCCAAACAAGCTACAGCTTGCAGCGGTAATTAGGACGGGGAGAGGATCTCACAGCGAGGCCTATGATTGTCCAGCTGCGGGTTCAGAGACGACCTCCTCACATCGGGGGAGGGGGGGCTGGGGGTGGCACCCCAAACTCCATCACACCTTCATGGCACCTTCTATCCAAGGAGGAAAAGACCCCTAATTTAACTCCCCCCTTTAGTCATCCTTATCGAATGCCTGCCCCACCACACAAGAACACGTCACATGCAAATGGACCCAAGGGCTCGGAGGGGAGTCGACTGGGGAGAACATTTAGAAAAGGTCGCGGAAGGGAATAAGACCCAACAGATACAGGAAGTCAGCGCCTGTGGCCCCTGGGGTCTTAATAAAAAGGCCAACTGGGCCCCGTGAATCACAGCAGAGCTCTGCAGAACCTTCCAGGGCGTGTTGTGGGATGAGTATAAAATGTCCTCCAGAACGTCTGAACATCTGGAGTGCCTTTGTGAGATTCCGTCGAAGCGATATGATTCAAAAGTTTCACATATTAAGCAAACGTGTGCAGATGCCTGCGGCTGACAGAACGTTCCTGTCTCACTGGAACAGGGCCCTCTGATTGGCTCCAGAATAGCCGCACGATTTCACGTGGCCTGCGAGGACCTTCACCGGAGAGCAGAGCACAGAGCACATAGCCAAATGTGCCAGGACCCCACCCACACACACCGGAGGGAGCCGCTTCCAGGGACCTCCCCCCTCCGGAAAGCGACCACTCATCTGAAACATAATCCGTTTCTGTTTGGAAGGTCAGAGCTCATTTAGGAGCATATTAAGAGGTTTATGTTGGTCTAAAGTAAATGTTTTTTCTTCCTACTTATAATGGGGGACCGTTAATTGAATAGAAAAGAAATGTTTATGCAACTGGCCAAAGGTTTCAGGGAACCCCCCTCACCCCCAGAAATGCTATGTGCTCTCCACAGCAGAGGAATTCCAGATTAGAACATCCACCTCATTCCCGTTTCATTCCAGGGAAGTAAGGTGCCACGGTGATCCGCGTCTGCGTCACATGGAATCCTGTGACATTCTTGGACACAAAGAACGTCAAAGTGGACGGAAGCTGCCCCCCTGAGCCGATCTGGGCTGGACCGTGGTGGGGGGGAAGTAGGGGGGGGGGGGGGGGGGGTGAGCCACAAACATCACCGCTCAGACACAAAGTAAGAGGCCACTCCAAATACAGGCCAGCCTCTTTCAGGATTCCGGGTCTTTCTCAACCACACCATAGAACATGGACATACGGACCACAGAAAGAACACGCGCGACAAGCAGCGTGAGTCGG